GAGAGCTAGAGGAATAATTGGTATGCCAAGAGTCGAGGGTTCTACGCGGTCTTTCAGGATAATTCTATGTGGTCCTTCGGGATAAATTCTACACTGTCCTTCGGGATAATTTCTACGTGGTTCTTCGGGACTTTTCTACGTGGCACTTCGGTGCATATTCTAAGCGGCACTTCGGTGCAATTCTATATGGAAGTTTCGGCTGCAACCCAGTGCCCAACCTTAATGTACTCACATACCTTGAGTTCCCAGTGATATACCATGGGCTATTAAAAGAAATGACATGAATGAACAGTGAATGATAATATATGTTTTGTTTTATGAAATGTACTATGGTTTCTTTATCCTATGATTTTTATAAAAGGCTAAGAATAAGATTAAATGTTTTTAATGTTATTTTATGCACATTATGCCTCACTAAGTCAAAGACTTAGTGTGTGAGTATTTTCACACGTAGGTTCAAAGAAGCCAAGAGAATAAAGCTAAGTCAGGACAGTACAACATATCTAGTCTATATTGAAGATCAGATCAGAAACGATTTAAACAGTATGTATTTTGTTATACTGAATTTTGTTGGCATGTAATTAAATGTTTAAATTGCATATGCTCTGATCAGTTTTGTAAACATACTGTGTTACATATATGTAGATTATTAAGTATTTATTTTCAATTTGAGTTCAAATTTTCAATATTTACTTTGATTTAAGGGTTCCACCATTTTAATACAAACAAAAGTTTAAAATTTTCAACTACTTTTCAAGAGTCAAATATTTGAAAAAGTCAACGTGACACATCGGATTCATATCCGGGTCGGATACGGGTTGGGGGTGTTACACTACTAATATGTTTGTTATTCTTTGTTAAATTCAATTTTGTTTAAATGTCAAGCTTTTAAAGTCAATTTTTTGTTTGGAATGTTATTTTTGAGTGGGAGCTTTTGACCTTTCAAATGATTTTAATGGAAAGTTTACAACTTACTCTCCATTGTTATTTTTGAACTTTAAAGTTGAATTATTTTTTATATAACAAAATGGGGGAGAAGTATGGGTTAAAAAAAATTCAATTTCTCAATGAAAAAAAATTAAATTTATCAATGAAAAAGGGGGAGCTGAACAATTAATATATTTTTCATTAAATATTTTATTAAGGGGGAGTTTTGCCAAAAAAATTTTCCAAATGTTTTGTTATATCAGAAAGGGGGAGATTGTTGAACTATATTTTAATATAACAAATTAAGGCAAAATGTTTTTGGACTTGAATTGAATTTATAAAAAGTTTTCAAAGTTTTCAAAAATAATTCAAAGTCCATTAAAAGTGAATTAGAGCAAAAAACTGATTTTCACGTACGTAGTACCGATACTGTTCTTATAGTATCGATACTATATGAACAATACCGATATTGTTCATGTGGTACCAATACCAAAGGTAAGACAAGTATTGATACTCTCAAGGTAGTATTGATAATACTAGCATTGCTCAAATTCTAGAATATAAAAATGGTACTGATACCCAAAGGGGTACTAATGCTACTTTACAGAGTAGTATCGATACCATAGGCTTAGTATCGATACTGTCAGGCCCAACAACTAGTAACGGCTAGTTTTATTTAAAAATAAAAAGGTAGCATCGATACTCCCTATAGGAGTACCGATACCCTCTGTACTAGGCAGTTTTATTTTGCAGAGAAAACATCCCCAACGGCTCCAAATCACTCCCAATGGCTAGAAATGCCCACAAACTCATTCCAACATATAAATACAAGTTCAAGACACTTGAAGAAGAGTTAGAACACCGATCCAAGCAATCAAACACAAGAGAAGAGCTTTTCAGACTATATTCCTATTCTCTTGTAAATATTTTGTTGGAAAATCCTTAGTGAGGAGCTAAAGTAGTGGAGGTAGACTTAGTTGAGAAGTCGAACCACTATAAATCGATGTGCAAAATTTTCTATCTTTTCTTTCTCCTTACTCCCTAAACACAATTTTCCAATTCACCCCTTGTACATTTTTCGGTTGTTCCAATTGAGCCTCTTCGATCTTAACAGTTATTGTAGGATATTCAGATCGGATCAAGATCTGGAGGGTAAAAGTCTCAGATTTAAAGTACATTTTGTTAAAGTATTTTATGATTAAAAGATAATAATTGGATAAATTATTTATAAATATGATTATATATATGTTACATTTTATGAATTAACATTTGGATCATTTTTTGTTATCCTCCAGTTCTAAGGCTTTTCCCTGGCTAATCTGGACTGACACAAATCGCACACCTAGCTTTGGTGGGTAAATCTCCCAACAGAGATTTTCTGTATATACAAGGACTCGAACCTGCGACCTGGCTTAAGTGATATCAAGCTACTTACCACTTGAACTAACCCCCGTTGGTTAACATTTGGATCACTTTAATGATTAATTTGACTTTTATGATTCGGCTGTAACCACTAAGTCTATGGAGTTACAAGGCTAAATGACTAAAGGACCCTTCGGAAGCAAAACTGACCAAAATGCCCTTATGTACTAAAATGACCAAAACAAAATAGTTTAATGAGATAATAAATGTGAAATGACTAATAATATCCTAAAAGTGATTAAAACGACTAGAAAGTCTCATTAAATGGTAAAAGACTAAAATACCTTCAAGAAGAGAAAAATCATGAAAATGCCTTTATGAGTAGTAAATGAATATATAACACTTAAGAATGTCTAAACATGTGTTATAAAGCATTAATGAATATTTTAATTCATCATATGTTGCATGATGATTTGTGAGGCTTGTGGTAAACCATTTCACATGTGAGGTCTCTATTTAGATAAGATAAGATTATCCATACCATTATGTGAAATTTTGATATTGCGTATTATATGCATCGACATATTGTGATATAAATTGCCAGATAATTTTGTAATAAAGTTAGAGTATAGTTGCCTTGTCATAGAGTCTAGCAACTCCATTCTAGCACTTCGCTGCATTCCATAACACTTAGATGTATTGTGGTATTTTGATGCATTGTGGGCATTTGTACCATTAGTTAACTCGTGCATCCTAAGTCAACTCTTCTACGTTACTTCAGACACTTTTGTGATAATTACTTCATTTATGATATGTAAGTATAACTTGAAGATTATTTATATCTTATGCATGATGTATATATATGATATCAATCTCGAGCATGATTATTCATACATTGTAATAAAAATATGATTTACACTTCAATCACTTTTGTGATAATTACTTCATTTATGATATGTAAGTATGACATGACGATTATTTATATCTTTTGCATGATGCATATATATGATATCAATCTCGAGCATGATTATTCATACACTGTAATAAAAATATGGTTTACTTGTCCCCTGTAAAATAACGTTATTGTTTATAAATAAATGTGGGAGATTAATGGTTATAAGTTCATAACTGGTTAGCATGTTTATTTTTACGAGACTTATGAAATACGTTGGAGTATATATGTACTCATTGGGCTTAATAGCTCACCCTTTATGCCTTTTTTAACATCTGATCGTTATTCGATTGAGATATTGAATGAGTCGTGCTCTGGTTGTTGAGATCTACAATCAGAGACTTAAATTACTATAACACCAGAACTTCGAGGTTTATGGTTTTAATAAAAATTTTGAGGTTTATGATAGTAAGATTGATGTAGACATGGGTTTACATGTTTGGGGTCTACGAGGGTTTTGATTTTGGGATAATATCAGGTGAGGTCAATGATCAATGATGGTTTCAAGTGATCGATGAGGTTTTGAGAGTGGGACAGTTGTGGGATAGTAAGTGAGGGGTTGTGGTCATCAATAAGAGTTTAGGGTTTTGAGTTGTTAATTGAGAATGAGATTTGAGTTTTAGGATCATGGTTTAGGATTGAGATTAGGATTTAATTATTTAATTTATTTTTTATTTTAAATCCTACATGATGTTAAATATTAATAAAAATGTCACGAGATAGAAAAAATATTAAAATAATTTATATCATCACATATTTTATAATTTAAATGATGAAGTGATTAAATTTGAAACAACTTGAAAAGTTTAATAATTAAATAAAAAAATTAAATTTAAAATACTAAAATAAGAGTAAAAAAGATAGTTGGGTGATTAATATTATAAATTACGACAGAACAGAAGAAAGTGATTGTAAAGAATAAATAAAACCCTAGCAGGCGCAAAACCCTTCTGCTCTCCCCCTGTACTTAAACCAAGGAAGTAAATGGAGGAATCAAGGAATGGGGATTGTGAAGAGTGCAACAAGAAGGCGTCAAAATACACGTGCCCAGGTTGCTGCCTCCGCACCTGCAGCCTCCCTTGCGTTAACGCTCACAAGTAACGCACCGGCTGCAATGGCAAAATGAACATCACTTCCTTTGTTCCTCTCTCTAAATTTGACGATAATCTTCTCATCTCAGGTTTCACCTTCGTTTCTTTTTGTTTTATCGATGAAATTCCATTCGATTTTAGTAAACCCAATTTTGCCTTTTAGATTATAATCTGCTGGAGGAAACAAAACGGGTTGTTGAAACTGCTGAAAGAATAAGGTCCAAACTATGTAAGACTACTAACGGCAGCTATCATCCTTGTTTTAAGCTGCCATATCCCCTTCGAACTCTCCGTAGTGTTGCGGCTTCTCGCAGAACTTAGCTCGTGTTTCTCCCCTCTGGGATGCCTAGGAAGGAAGCTAATCAAACTCGATTTAACCACAAGTTCGTCCTTTTTTTTATTCATTCAAAAAATCAATTCATGTATTAACAGGATGGACCGGGGACGGGTGGGGCAGTCACCTGTCAAATTTTTTGATTCTCTTGTATTTTAAATTTTTTCTATGTATTTTATATTAATAATCTGTTTTTGTTAAATTTTATAAGTTCATTACCCTCTAAAATTTTATGAGTTCGCCTTATTTAACATAAAATCTTTTGTTCGTCCTCCATGTATATGATATATCTTTGCTCTCTCTATAGGAAGAAGTGCATTTCATGGACTATTGAATGGCGGTTTCACTCAACGGATGTTGTTTTACTTGACCATGGGTGAGCTTCCGTTTAACACCTGAGGGCCTTGACAATGCTATTTTTTCAAAGCTTTCCCCATTTCTAAATAGCTTTCCCCATTTCTAAATAGGTGTCTGTTTAAGATTCTCGGACATCTGATGCATTGGTTTTTTTTTTATTCTCTTTTTTCCCAGTGTACATGAAGATACAAGCCTCTGCTTATTAATCAAAAACCATCTCCAACCTAGCCCCTGGAATCATTCTATAAGGCGGTTCTGCGAAGTGCAGCTCGATTGCCTCAAGTTTTTTTATTCAAAAATACCCTAAGGTGGTTTTGGCCTCTTGGTTTCATTGTTTTTCTTCTTTTGAATTATATATTCAGAAACCTCCACACACTCATCCTGCTTGTTTGCTTGGTTTTGCCATATTTACTTGGTTTAATATTTGTTGCATTTCCATGTTAAAACTGGAATTAAACACACCAATCCTAGGGATATGTGCAATTCACTGAAGTTTTTACCTCCTTAGATTCTTGAAGTTGTGTTATCTGGATTATGTTTAACACACACATCCTGGATCGGAGTCAATTGAACTGGTGATATCACTCAACACCGACAATCAGCTGTCTGTTTTTTACCTTGAATTATAGATCATATGTATTGATGTCTGCCTTTCACGTTATCCTCTGCTGAATATTATTTTATTCATCCTATTGATGATTATCTCGTTTTGTTATAGGGTATATCACCTTTTTGGGAGTTAGACATAAAGGCCCCAATACGGAAACAATTAGCTGATACGGTTGTTCTAGAGTATCCCGTAATTCATGTACATCTTCCTTCGGAACACTATGATTTTGAAATTGTCAGGAAGAACCTTCCTGCCGACAATAGGAGAGAGAGCAAGGATTCTAACATTGCTAATAATGAAATCCAAAAAGGTGTTACCTTCAGGGAGGAGGAAATAAAAGAGAATGGTAGCTCTTCAGATCCTCAGGTCTTTGATCTTATGAATCATGTTCATCAAATCTCTCCTCAAAGCAAGTCTGAGAAAACATTTGGTAACTCGGTTTTGTCCTTGACGAGAGCTGGGGCAGGGAACAGGGTGCACTCCAGCCCCCTGGCTAAGGTCTCTGGAATTTTCGAAGACATGGAGTTTGAATTTGATCAAGGGTTACTTTATGCGTATTCAGACCTCATTGCCAAAATGAATCCAGATGACTTTCTTGATTTAGAAGGTGAAAATGCTAAGCAACCAGAAACAGAAGATAGAAGGGACCTTTCGAATTCTAGGGGAGTTTTCTTTGCCGAGGAATTGGAGGAAGGGGAGATTGTAGATTAACTTATCACTGTCAGTTTTTCCATGAAGCTGTGCAGCATGAGTAGAGTAAGAATTTATTAAGAGTTGTTGCTTGCTACTGATCATAATTTTCATCTATAATCTGCCCCAGTTTGTCCGTCATTTATGGAGCTAACTCCAGAACTCCGGCACTTACAAGCATGCAGTTTCTTTCATAATGAACAATGGTCGACTATTCGGGAACGCGCAAAGATCGGGACAAATGCTTTGATATCTTGCAACTTCAATAGCTGATATAATATTTCATTCATACAGAAAGATGGCATGCTGACGACACTGTAGTTGTGTGGAAACCCTAGTAGTATTTTGGGCCAATTTGGGCCTGGATCGGTTCTGGACTTTCGGGTTTTAATTTATATCTGTGTCCCGATTTTGTAATATTTGTAATATAATATAATAATAATATAATAATATACATTATATAATAATAAGACTCAGACAAAAATGACTGTCAACACCTTCCACTTCCCATCATGTTAAAAGAGGCAAGGCTCGAGTTCCAAATATACTAATAGAGATAGTTTTACAGTAGTTTCACAGAAAAATAGACAATCTCAATATTTTATTGCTAGCTCGGGTAGATCAACTGGGGAGAGAATTACATGTCAAACATGTGGCAAATTGCACAGTGGAGCATGCAGACATCTCAGTGGAGCTTGTTTCCAATGTGGTGAGACTGGACTTTGCTCGAAACTATCATAAGAAATCTGGGGACAATTTGTCGTAATTTGAAAGATCGGTGGCAGCATCAAATAGAAGCAGAGGAAGGGGTAGATCCAGGGGACAAACCAATTCAATGCAGAGACAAGAGACTTAGGGAGTCGCTAGAATTTACAATATTAAGACTAATGAGGATCAGGATGACCAAGAAATTATAACAAGTATTTTCCATCTTTTTGATGAGCCTGTATTTGTTTTAGTTGATCCTGGTTCAACACACTCATACATCAGTAGCAAATTGGTTAAAATTAGAGGAAACCCTTTAGAACCAATTATGAGCGATATGATAGCGGTAAACCCTATGGGACACAATGTGATAGTAACTAGAGTTTGTAGAAAATGTCCCACAAAGATCCAAGAGTTTGTGTTTCTGGAAAACTTGATGGAATTGCCCTTCGATGAATTTGAAATCATTTTAGGTATGGATTGGTTGTCTTCACATTATGGATGGGTGATTGTCATAAAAAATCTTGTTTATAAAGGATGTCGAAGGTTCAAAAATCGTAGTGATCGGCGAAAGAGAAAAATCACCATCGAATGTGATATCAGCCATGACTACAAGGAAAATGATCTCAAAAGGATGTATAGCTTTTCTAGCAAAGGTGATAGATACTCGAATTCCAGAGGTTAGAGTAAATGATTTTCCTATGGCTAGAGAATTTTCGGAAGTTTTTCCCGAGGAGTTACCAGGATTATCTCCAGATCGTGAGGTAGAATTCAGAATTGAGATTTACCTGGGTACCAAACCTATTTCTATGGCTCCATATAGAATGGCTTTGACTGAATTGAGAGAATTAAAAGCCCAATTACAAGAGTTACTCGATAAGGGGTTTGTAAGACCCAGTGTTTCTCCTTGGGGAGCACCTGTCTTGTTTGTGAAAAACAAGGGTGGGTCTATGTGATTATGCATAGATTACCACCAATTAAATAAAGTGACAATAAAGAACAAGTATCATCTTCCGAGGATTAATGATTTGTTAGATTACCTGAAAGGAGCAGCAATGTTTTCTAAGATAGATCTAAGGTTGGGGTACCATCAACTAAAGATCAAAGAGGATGATATTTCAAAGATAACTTTTCAGACTCAGTATGGGCACTATGAATTTGCAGTGATGCCATTTGGTTTGAATAATGCCCCTGCAGTATTCATGGATTTGATGAACAGAGTATTCCAATCGTACTTGGATCAATTCATGGTGGTATTTATAGATTATATTTTGGTATATTATAAATCAAGAGAAGAACATGACGCTCATCTTCTTGTAGTTCTTCAGACACTCCGCGAGAAGAAGTTGTATGCCAAATTGTCAAAGGGCGAATTCTGGTTAGCCAAAGGTTCTTTCCTTGGCCATATAGTCTCCACATAAGGCATAAAAGTATATCCTAGAAAGATCCAAGCTATAGTGGATTGGCAAACCCCAAGGAAGGTTTATGAAGTTCAGAGTTTCTTGGGACTTGATGGTTATTATAGACGGTTTGTGAAGAGCTTCTCAATGTTAGCTTTGCCACTAACTAAATTGTTACGAAATGATATGCCATTTTTATGGATGGAGGAATGTCAAGAAAGGTTTGAAAGGATCAAGAGAATAGTAATAGAGGCCCCCATTATGGTACAACCTGAGTCAGGAAAAGACTATGTTGTTTTCAGTGATGCATCCCATAATGGACTGGGGTGTGTGCTGATGCAAGATGGTAAAGTTGTGGCCTATGCCTCTAGATAGTTGAAGAATCATGAGAAAAATTATCCGACTCACGATTTAGATTTGGCAGCCGTTGTTTGCTTTGAAAATCTGGTGTCATTATCTGTTTGGGGAACGATGCCATATTTATACGGATCATAAGAGTCTAAAGTACTTGTTGAATAAGAAAGATTTGAACTTGAGGCAAAGAATATGGATTGAGTTTTTAAAGTATTATGATCTAATTATCGATTATCATCCCGGAAAGGCAAATGTGGTAGCAGACGCCCTGAGCTGAGGACTTTTTCCTCTCTACGGGCTTTGGATGCTCATATGTCATTAAAGGAAAATAGTGCCTTGATTGCTGAGCTTAAGTTAAAGCCAATGTTTTTGGATCGGATAAAAGAGCTACAAGGGCAAGATGAGAAATGCTTGTTGATAATGACACAAGTTGAAAAGAAAGAGACCAAAGACTTCGAAATAAGAGGCGATGTATGTTTATATTATTGAGAAAGACTTTACATACCTGATAATGATGAATAAAAGAAAGATGTTCTTTATGAAGAACATTATAGACCTTTGACGATGCATCCAGGCAGTAATAAGTATTACCAGGATTTACAAAGTCGCTATTGGTGGCCTGGTATGAAAAGAGTTGTATAAGAGTTTATGGTGAAATGTTTGATATGTCAGCAAGTGAAAGCTGAACATCAAGTACCCTCCGGATTGCTTCAATCGATGCCCATTCCTGAGTGGAAGTGGGATCGAGTTACTATGGAATTTGTTTCGGGGCTACCTTTATCGCCAACCAAAAAGGACTCCATATGGGTAATTATAGATCGATTGACGAAGATAACTCATTTTATTCCCGTTCGAGTATATTACCGATGGATAAGTATGCGGAGTTGTATATTAAAGAAATAGTCAGACTGCATGGAATGTCTATATCAATAGTATCTGATCGGGACCCAAGGTATACTTCAAGGTTCTGGAAGTCGTTAAATTAGACATTGGGTACTCGATTGAACTTCAACACCGCTTTTCATCCACAGATAGATGGGCAATCATAATGAGCTATCTAAATACTTGAGGATATGCTAAAGGCATGTGTGATTGAGTTTAAAGGATCATGGGAAAGGTAATTGCCTTTAGCGGAATTTGCATATAATAACAGTTATCAATCTAGCATTAAGATGGCCCCATATGAAGCTTCGTATGGGAGAAAGTGTCGAACAACATTAAATTGGGCTGGAGTTAGTTAACGAAATGGAGGAGAAAGTAAAGATTATTCAGGGTAATTTAAAGATAGGCTCCAATCGGCAAAAATCTTATGCTAATTTGAAATGTAAAGGAATCAAATTTTAAGTAGGAGATAAAGTATTTTTGATGTTGTCGCCTTGGAAGAAAGTTTTGAGATTTGGGTACAAAGGAAAGCTGAGTTCGAGATTCATTGGGCCTTATGAGTTTTTGAAAAAGGTCGGACCAATAGCATATCAATTAGCTTTTCCCCCAAATATGGATAAGATCCATAATGTTTTTCACGTATCGATGCTCAGAAGATACTGATAAGATCCATCCCACATTATCACACCAGAGAAGATAGAGACCCGATCAGATTTAACTTATGAAGAAGAACTGGTGCGCATCCTGGCTAGAGAAATAAATGAACTGCGCAACAAAAAGATTCCTTTAGTTAAATTACTCTGGTAAAATCATAAAGTTGAAGAATCTACATGGGAAAGAGAGGAGGACATGAGAATACACTTTTCATACCTATTCATTACAGGTATTTATTTAAATTCGTGGATGAAATTTCTTAAGGGAAAGAATTGTAATACTCTAAATATCAGATTAGGGACTATATTGAATAGATTTGAAAATTTAAGATTTATTTGAATAAGTGGTAAAAGATAAGAAAATGATTTGGAATAGTGTTTAGACTAAATTGTATCAATGGATAAATTAAGAGGGCACTTTGGTCTTTTAAGGGGGAGAATGAATTTAAAAATATATATTCTTATTAAGGATTTTAAATAGGAGAAAAGGGGAAAGTAAGACATTTGTTATTATTCTTCTTCTTCACGTGGGTATTGCTCTCCTCTCTAGCATAAGGTAAACTTCCATTAGCTAGTTCTTCCTTTAAATTATGGGTTACTTTGGTAACAATAAGTGATATGTAAGCTTAAGTAAGGATTAAAGAAGAGTAAAACTAAGTAGTGGATGTTTTATAGGAGATTTAAAGAAATGGGTTTTCGAATGATATGTTGATATATGTGTTTTTATTGAGTTTTATTAGTAGAATTGAGTTGTCAAAGGATGCAATAAAAGATGAGAAGCATGAGATTTGATTAAAAACATTTTAGAAAAATGATATGATTCTTGAGTTGAGATGTTCCATGAAGATGTTAGATTTTAAAGGTGGAAAAATGAAGTAAAGTTAGTTGGGTTAAGTAAAGGGGAGTTAAATAGTATTGTTGGAGGTTAAAATATAAGATTATAGGGAAAAATTAAGTGAAAATCGAGCTGAAAAATGGTAAATCTAAGCAATGGTATCAGTACTGATAGAACAGTATCGATACTATG